ATGCTGACTCCAGAATTTCAAACCCTGGCAAGCGTGATGCAGATGTACTTGGCCAAGAAGCAAGGCTAATTAACCCGTGATACCTTTCTCACTGGGGTGGGGATTTTGCATACTAGCACATACTCCTCTGTGGACTTCCTGGCTCCAAACTCCACTTGCTCAGAGAGCTCTGTCGTGTGCTCCACTCTCAGGCATACACTTGTAGATTTTAAGTATTGTAACACACACTTGTACTACCTCTCCTGCAGCACATAATCAAGTGGTGAAAATTGTCCTAGCTTCAACAGCTGATAATCAACCTCTGTCTTTAGGGCAAGACATTTTGCTGGCCGGGAAAAGTGAAGGGCTCCTTTTGTCCTCTCCCAGAACCACCTTCAGCATTAGCTGATGTTTGTACAAAGGTTTAAAACAATAACATGAGCTTAACTGTTGAGTTGTTCTTGATGCAGGACATATTAGCTAATAATTCAGGGACCAGTAATGCTATTTTTCTTGTTCTGTGTCTCAAGCTCTGCTACGTTATGCCATCATCCAGTGCAAGATGTGCTCAGTTTCCTCGTGCACAAGACAAGGTTCATTATTACATAAAGCTAAAAGACTTAAGGGATCAACTGAAAGGCATCGCACCAAACACAGAGGTGCAGGAAGTGCAGTACACATTCGACTTGCAACTTGCACAAGGTATGGTGTTTATTTTCTTAGTGCTTTATAAAGGTGTAGTGTGACATACAACTAGCAGATGCACAAGAAAAAGGAAATTAAAAAAATCTTGTGTGTGGGGGGAGATGTATCATCCACCCTAAATCACGTGGTATAGAGCTAGAGATTCTGCTCTTTTTATTGCAGTTTTAATTATCTAAGGGAAGCTGGAATTACCTTGTAAAATGTGTGGCTGTTTTTGCAAATGCTCTCTTATAAAAATGCTCTGTGATTTTTATTCTTAATACTTGAACTCTTCTCCTTCTGCAGAGGATGCTAAAAAGATGGCTGTCAAAGAAGAAAAATATGATCCAGGTTATGAAGCAGCATATGGAGGAGCTTACTGTGATCGTGCACCATATGAAAGTGAACAGTGCAATTTCTCTTCAAACGGAACTGGTAAGGAGTGGTGCTTGAGGCATTCGGTCTGTAAACCATTATGTATAGCTTTTTATTAACATTCCATATACTAAATTTTCTACCCTTTCAGCACTTCCACAACTCATACAATAAAGTATAGCATCAGTTAGACTCTTATGTGCAGTCTTTCTGCAAGGGAGGGGGGAGAAAAGCCATTTTCTCTATTTAAAATCATTTATCTGCAACTTCTAACTGTTCTCCTAAACTCTGTCACCCAGGATGTGACAAACAGACATCACTAGTGACTTACAGTCACTGTTTCAATTGCATTGACTTTTGTATAAACGCACCATGTTTTCCAGACAATTTTTTTTTTTTCATTCCTAAGGATAGCAAAGACAGAGAATGGTGAAACAGATAAAATCACAGTACAATACGAAGCACAACTGAGATTGTTCCCTTACTGGTGGGGTAGATGAAGGAGGAATATTTGAATGGTGTCATCCAAATAACGTAATGTTTTAGGATAGCTGGTATAGTGACCATACAGTTTGCCTTGAATAATATGAAGACAAACAACTATTTTTACATTATGGGTGGGAAATCACCAAAACCCAGACCATACAGTAGTTTGGTATTCTTCAGCTTTTAGTGTGGAAGCAGTTTAAGAGTGGGAGAAAAACAAACTTCCACTATCTGTAGGTTTTCTCTGCTTGAAGTTCATGCAACTTCTTGAGTAAAGTGTGATTTTTTTTTTAGTCCTGACACTTTTGGAAACATAGTAAGTAAATAAAAAACAAGCAAATAAGAAGAGAATGATGAATGTAGTGATATTGCTGTAATTAAGAAGTTGGGAATTTTACTTCTCAAAATACCACCAACTGTAATTAGAAAAACATGAAAAACAATGGCAGAGGCCTTTCTGAACTTAAAGGGGGCTTATAAAGAGAAAAATGGACAAAGGAGTGGTTTTAAACTAAAAGACTGGAGATTTAGGTTAGATATTAGGAGGAAATTCTTTGCTCAGAGGGTGGTGAGGCAATGGCACAGGCTGCCCAGAGAAGCTGTGGGTGCCCCATCCCTGGAGGTATTCAGGGCCAGGCTGGATGGGGCTTTGAGCAGTCTGGGCTGGTGGGAGGTGTCCCTGCACATGGCAGGGGGGTGGAACAGGGTGGTTCGTAATGTCCCTCCCAACGCAAACCTTTCTATGATACTATGAAGTAGTAACTGTCACCTTCATCTGAAGTAATGAATTTTAGTCCTAATCTCATTTATGTTATAAATTGAACTTATATTGTCTACCATATTTTGTTTAAGAGAATGTCCCTTATAAATAAAGTTCTTCTTCTCTAGGAAACACTGCAAAATAAGTATACTTTTAAACATTTAGACTCTTAATTTACCTATACACCACCCTTAAATTCACTCTTCAAAGAAGATATGAAGAAAATATAACTGGGGAGAATGATCTGGATCTACAGAAGTAGACACTTAAAGGAAATAAGTTGGAGTCTGAATAGGTAGCTGATAAGTAGAATGAAAGATGGAAACTGAAAATATCTTTAGGGGTAGGGATGTTTGGGGGGATGTTTATTTTTAACTCTATATTTTATTGTTTGTTTTCTAGCAGCAGGCAATCCACAGTATTGTGAGGGGTCATCATCCTTTGGTGAAGTTCCTAATGGACAGTGGATGACACAGTCCTTTGCAGACCAGATTCCAGAGTTCAACGCTGGCATGACACAAGAACCAGAGGGAAGCAGTGCGTAAGGGCTGTTTCTTCTCAGCTATGCATACATGCTGCAGTTTTAATGCAGTGGTGAAGATTGGTACCTCGGTTCTCCAACTGAAGCATTTTAATAGTATTTTATCTCCCTTAGTTATTTTATTATAGTCCAAAGTAAGTGTGTGGTAGGCTCAAATCAACGAACTAGGTAACTTTAAGGAACTGTCCAAACTTTTTAAAAAAAAGTTAGCCTTTTTTGTATATGAGTTTTATATTTAATGTATGTCATTTCTTGCAGTTTTTGACAAATTGCTTTCTCATTGTGTCAATTTCTTTGGGGCGTTAATTTTATTCCATGAATTGTAATGTAGTAGAACAGCAGCATAATTTTTATTGATGCCCCAATGTTTTGGATATCTCATAGTCCTTTTATATATCTAGAGGGGAAAATGGAAGTGTACCCTTACCTTACATGAAGTGGTGTTTTTAATTATGCACAGTTAAACAAATTGTGCTTTTTAAACCTTCTTACTTCCTAAAAAAGTGCAGAATGTCTGCAGCTGTGAGTACTGAATATTTTCTAGGGCAGGAATAGAGAGGTCTGTCTGTCTAGTGATTGGACCATATTCAGGGCAAATGGAGCAGAGACATCGCAAGTCAAAATGCTGGGGAGGAAAATTTGTGTCACACAGGACAGGACCTTAAATATTCTAGCTGAGCTGTCTTAGGGTAAGTTGTTCCTATCATTCCTTCTATTTTCCCCTTAAATTCTAATGTAAGGAACTGGAATTCCTTAAAAAACAGTGGTTCTTGAATCTGTGGCATTTAAAGTCTGAGTCACTTGTATAATTAGTCTTGACTCCTGACCTCTAGCAGGAGAATAGGTTACATTGCAGGGAAGTGAAAGACCATAGTCCCTGTAAAAATATCTACAGTCATGTTATTTCTATCAGGTACAATTAGCACAGGGTGAAAGAAGATCTGTGGTTTAGTTGTTTTTAACATTAATTTATCTTCAATCTGTAAGACCTTAGAGGGTGTTCTTATTACTCTTACAAGTGAAAGATACTAAGGTGAAGACAAGGGCAGCTGTTCCATGAACAAGAAGTCAGCTGTTGGAACTAGAGCTCTCTTCTTTGGAACTTGCTGAAATAATACACACTTTTGGCTGGTACTAGTGGCCTGAGAAAGAAATGAGAATCCGTGCTTGTGCCTAACTATCATCTTCTTTCCCTCTTTTATTATGTGAGGAGGAGATGAAGTAAAAGCAATAAGCTGATCAAAACATTCACGTTTTGATGATCTTATGAGAGAAGGTGCTTCACATACTTGAAAAAGATACAAACAGTATCTCCACAGTCCATGCTGGTCAGAAATTCCTGTACCAGTCTTATCCTTTCCTCACAGCCACTGACAGTTGCCATGTATTGAGTGTAAGTAGTTGGCATAGATTGTAATCCTGCTGTAACATCTCTCACGGAGATCACACACTGTCACCCTGCTGTGAGGTGGGCATGATGTTTACAGTTTTCTTCCCAAATTATGTGGCTTAATTCTGAGCGTCTGAAATCAAGAAGCGTGCATTATGATTATGTTGATTAGCTCCAGCATAAAGCTGTTCGATATATTGTCAAAAAGGTATAGGGTTTGTCTTGTCTGTTATTTAATGTGTACTGTATCATGTATTGCTGTTTACATGGACATTTTCCTGCAGGTGCTCCAAGTATCTCGTATCAGGGACTTGTTACAATTCAATTTTATTTTTCAGCAACATCAGAAGCATGTAACTAGCACTGCTGATTAGGTGGTACAGTAGTACGTAACTACTGTACTGCTCTCCTGTTTGATTTGAAGGGAAGGGTCTCTTCTTGACCAGAGGCACCTACTAGATTATCTGGGTGTAAAATACAGTTAAGTATATAATGACCGTTTCACTAAATATTGCAATTTCTGTGTATTTCCTCAGAACTGGTGCTCTTTTCATTACAGTAATACAGAGGTTCATAACCTGTCTTAAATCTATCTCTGTTTCACAATAAAATCAGGAATTGTATCGCAGTGTCTTTGAATATGCTTTTGCATCTTGCTAGCAGTGCTCTGAATACACTGTGGTGCAGTCAGACTGTACTACATACACAAGTACAGCATTCTGCAGAGAAACACTGCAGAACAGTCACCATGCAACTGAACTTTACATATTAAAAGGCTGCACAAGTTTTATTTTGGGGCTGTTTAATTGGGGCTAGTAGACTAAAGCCAACTTATATGTAATATAAGAAGTATTTCCTGTGTCAGTTTTCTGCCAGCAGCTACTGGAGTCTTATTTATAAAAATCTTGCATTAAAGCACATTGTCTGATTTCACCTCTGTAAATATTTAATGAAAGTATTTCATTGTCAAGTAAACTTGTTTCCTCACCTTATTTGAAAGTCAGGATAATCTGAACTGTAACTAACTCTCCCACCTCCCTCTCCACCCATAAGCCCTCAAAACTGACAATCATTTTATGACAATATTTAAGAAATGCTCAGTTTTCTAAAATCGGTTAATTACACAGTTTGGCACGTTGCTTCTCAAACTATTGCATGCTGCAAAACAAAGTATAAATGCATTAAGTGTTTTCAGTATCAGCTGTCAGGACGAGTTAATTTGAACTTCCCCGAAGGGTCTGGAATAAACCAGTTTTCCCAGAGATCAGTGTGAACACTGGGATAGTCCCAAGGTTTATATCTCCCATTCCAGTGAAGTAATTTAGCTTCTTGAAGGAAATGCTCTGAATAACGGGTATCGGGACTCCAGCCTGCATGGGTACATGGAAAAAATAAAAGTTTCTTGTAATGGAAGACACTACACAGTTAAACTTTTGTTTTATAAAAATAAGTCTGATTAGTATGGTTCCACTTAGTTGTCAATAGACAATTATTTGTATGATAGAGCAGCATTTTTTCAATTAACACCTCTAATTCTGCATCTGAAAAATCTGTTTCCTCTCAACAACATCTTGGTATATCTGAGATTCACTAAAAACATTTCTTGTACCATTCATTTTATTATATATAAAGCTATTATTTTTTTTCTCTCAGGATAATTCACCGTTCCCATGTTAATGCTAACTACATGTTGACTACACAAAGACTTCTAGGTTTCCCATGATCTTCTACTCTAGCTGCTAAAAATGTCAGTTTTTTCAGTCTCTGTGACAATATTCACATCTTTACATATTCTTTCCATGGTTTAGGACAATATGTCCTAAACCTATTAGTTGGTCTTCAGTCATGTAGTTTTCTCCTTGGTACTTTTTTTTCCCTTCTTATCCAATTTAATGACTACTAGTTATTTTTGGAAGGGTAAAGCTATTTTATTTGCTTGACCTGTTAAGGTATTTGACAATTACCAGTGGGATATACACACATTCTGCCCTACCCTGAAGCAAGCCGGACTAGTGAGTGTTATAGGAAAAGGAGGAAGCATGGGTTACATAATGTCAGTTTGAGCTATAAGGTAATGTGGTGAGGTAAAGTAATGTAACATCCTACACTGGAATCTTAAAAACTCTCACTTTATTTAGTTCAAACTGCAAATGGTGGAAAGCTAAACTTACCAAGATGCCGTATGTGCCACATAGGATTAATAGCAGAATACTTTCCGTGAAATACAATCAGCATTGGAGAGGTTGCCACACCTCCCCCGAGGGTGCTGCTGTAGAGGTTTTCCCTGCAAAAGAATGAAGTATTCAAAACCTCACTTAGAGTCTTTGGTCCAGAGATCAAAATGTAAGTATTCTGGTAAAATTCAAAAGCATTTTGAACACGCTTATTTTCAGCATACTCTGTTCTAATGCTGTTAATTGCTTGCATTTGCAACTCCAATTCTTGTTGAGTAGATGGTTGCTACCAAGTAAACCCAACATGAAGCCAATTACTTCCACATGCTGCCTGTAGTCTATGAGGCTGGCAAAATCAAAGTAGGAAAAAAAACAACTGTCAACATAAAGGAATTAAACATAATTCATTTTTGTTTGCTAAGGAAATGCACATGCTTCTATGTATTTCACTCTCTCTCTTCATTCCCCTTCGCCTCCCTGCCCAACTTTTAGACCTGTAAGTTAACTTTCGATCAGTTTAGTTGGTATGAACTAACATCTAAAGGATATTAATTTCCTGTGAACTGTGTGAAAATTCCAGGGCTTGAAAAAGCCAAACATTACTGGGAGGAGAGGCAGCAGCCAGATGTCTGGCCACAGGGTGCTTAAGGCCTGGCCAGTCAGCACATGGGAGCATCGTGTCACCTGCCTAGCCCAACGAGGTGGAAACCTGGAAAGTATCAAGAGGGGCTTAGAGGCTACAGAACAACAAAAATCGGAACCTTCAGAACCGTTTCAGCTGCTAACTAAGCAATTTATTTCACTGTCACTTCAAAACCCAGCTAAAAGGAACATGAATGTTTTATTATGATCGAAAATCATATTTGTAGATTAAGACCTGCAGTTAATATTCATGGATTTTTTTCAAGCTCTTAAAAATCAGAGCAATATCTTCTCGTAACGTTACCTAAGCAGAGTGAGACAGACAGGCATTTAGCTTTTTATTCAGTCACATGCTTATCATCTGTGTCTCTCCTGCTTTGTTCTGAAAGTAACCAATAATGGAGGTAGTCCAAAAGCACAAGCAAATCTGTTTCAATTTAGTTTTACTAACAAGAAAACAAGTAAACAAGTTTGCAAATGCAGGTTAGAAACAAACACTGAAAATTAACTGTTTGATTCATTGTGTTCATGACTTATTTGTGGTCAAAGCCAAAAAATTATCTTCATGTCAAGTTTGGTCTGTTTATAGAGAAAGCAGTGTTTTCTATTGGTATTTAACAAGTAGGGTGTCCAATTACTGTTTGGCTGACGTTACAGTGGGGGAGACCCCACACAAACAAGAAAACATTCCTTCTTCTCTAAAGTGGCCTCAAGAAGGGAAGATTTTAAGTGGCTTGGTCCCAAGTGAGGTGGGATCAAAACAAGCCCCACATGGTCTCAGTGTCCCTCAGGATTAAGTGCGGTTTGCAATAAACACAGGACTAATATTCCAGGCGGCATTTTCTGGTACGCTTTCAATCAGATATAACCACATGGAAATTCTTGACCATGAGTTACTTTGGTATCTCACAGAACAAAAAAAAGTTTAAAGTTGCAAACTTTAAAGAGCTTACAAACAGAAAATTATAGTTTTGATACTCAATTTCCAGTTAAGCGCAAAGCTAGGTTTCTCTATACATACTCTACATTTCTTTGCATCCACTTTTCCAACTGCTTTGTAAGCCGCTGATGTTTCCATTCAGTCATGTTAGCAACAATTACGCCAGGATTAAAGGAGCAGGTGCTGGGGCTGATGCCAAGATCTCTAATTGCTTGCTTTCTGTAGTCCAGGAATCCCATGTATGTGTTCTGGGAAGTTAAAAAAAGAAAATTTCAAAGTATGTTTATCCCCTGTGAATCTCAATAAAAGTGAGAGTAAACGCATCTCTATGCTGCTCACACGGAGACTAAGTATGTGCTTCCAAAGCTGAGTTTCTGTGATGATTACCTGTCTCAATTGCCATGTGACGTGGGGCTGAAAGGCAAGGTGTGCCCAGCTACTGAACTGCTTTTCCATGATATTGTCCCACTGGAGGTGAATAAAGTGCTTTCCTCACCACATTTTTTCTTCCTGCAGCTTACTCTAAATTATGTGTCTTTATACTTGTGCAGCTAGAGGGACTGACAGTTTTGGGGAACTCAACTCAGAAATTTGCTTTCAAGTATCTTTGCTGAGTTTTGTTCCCAATTCAACTAATACAAATATCATGTACTCTTGCTTCATTTAATACTCCAGAAGTGCTCACAATCTACTGATAGCAAAATTAACTTAATAAAATACCAAACATAATTTAGTAGAATCCAAAGAACAACAAAGATTTAAACTACTACAGGAAACAACTCTGATAGTACCATATCGTTACAGTTACTACAGAAAGTAGTTCTTAATTACCTGTAAAACTGGTACAAAAAATATGGGGAAAAAAAAAAAACTTTCACTTTGAGGAAAATATATAAAATCATGTTATGCTTATGAGCCAATACATTCATGATTAGAGTTCCAAAATTACACCTTACCTGCATGCCTACACTTCTAACCATTTCATGCGTAGAAGGCAGGTCACAATCATCTGAAAAAGCGGCAGCATGTCCAGGAGCTAACTTAGTCTCATAGAGTTCCTGGATGTCACCTGGTTACACAAAGTTGAAAAGCTTAAGAGTAAGCCTATTCTCTGCTACATAGCTGATAGGATAACTTCTGTTCTCAGTGTTAATTACAAACATATTAATTTTAGGGGATAGCTCAGATGTTAATGAAGGCTGAATTTTGCTATGTGGGAAATTTTTGAGTTTATGTCCCATATATGGGTGTCTATCTTCAGCTATTGCCATCAGTATTCAATACATCCTTAATTTGGTTCAAAAGTCCAAGATCAGCTGAAGCAGCAGCTGATTACACTGTTAAGAAGCTGGTTACAAAGTTATGCATTCAATTAACTCTTATTTGGAGAAAGAGGGCATGGGCAGATGACTTCAATGCCTCAGAAAAGTCTCTTCAATTTCCTGCACGGATCAGTTTTTTTCCTCTGTTCCTGTGTTTGTACCTTGTAGTAAAATACCCAGATTCCCAGTGCTTACTGATAAGCACTGGCCAGCTGAAAGGTGCCTGTCACATTTGTGGCTTCCCAGACTGCCCAGCTCCTTCCTGATGGAGGGAGATAACGTAACGCATGATGCCTCACTCACCATCTGACAAGCACATAACCACTGTGCCAGAAGGATTTCAGGGCCGGTGGGAAGCACAGCACCACCATTATACAGCTATAGCAATTAGGGGAGTCTGCATCCAAACCCCTTCAATCTACTGGCAAGGGTCACAGGTAAGATGAATTAAGTTGGCGGGCCCATTAGCCTGAGGTAGGCCACTCCCCACAGGTAGGCCATGAAAAAGTAAAGCTGCTATTACCAGGAAACCTCAATAAAAGACTAGAAACTGAAAACATTCCTCACACTGCAAAGAGCAGAACTACTGTTTCTGAAAGAAAAATTCTCCAAACTCACCAGCCAGATGGAAGACTTGGGATAGAAATTACATCCCACCTAATAACAATAATGCAAATGGGGCAGCTAGTAATTGTTTAAAAATAACAAGCCTTATCAGGTACTTTGTCCTGATTCTAAATAACTTGTGTTTTTTCAAGAGAAAAAGTGGGGAAAAAAATGTGACGACACACAAAATGTTTCATTCTTACTTACTGTAGGAAATAACTGTCCAACACATAAACAGTCCCAAAGTTAAACCCTGAAACTCCCAATCACTCTGTACCCTATCAGAACTCCCATTCCAGAGACATCTGATAGAGAGCAGTCTCACATTACAGTTAAAACATGAGGAACAGCTGCCAAAGCAGATGCACCCTCCCTCTGCCTCCACTCCCACATGCCCATCTTCATTCCCCTCTTTTGGGCCCTGCGATTACATGGCCCAAGGGTGAGCAAGCAAAGAGGAAAACAAGTTTTGTTGTTTTTTGGTTGGTTGGTTTTGTTTGTTTGTTATATAGCCAGTCTTCTGCCGGGTCAACCAGAAAATGTCAGCTTATTTCACAGCTGCACAACTGTAGGTGTGATACAAGAGAGGTAACAGGAGCTGCCTGCGGACAGGAGAAGCCACTTCCGTAGGCAGCAGCCTACCATTAGCTGTAATGTAAAACTACACCTCTATCCTGTGGTTCCAGAAACACTATCAGCTGACAATCTGACACCCCTAATGAAAGAGAAAGTCCTACCTCTCCTCTTTTACCAGTCACCCCAGTCGTTTCTGCTGGAGCACTGCCTTAAGTCATGGCAGGAAGCTAGTTCAGGCTGAAAGGAATCACCTTTCTGGGGAAAGCTGGTGCAGGCACATGAGGGAGGGATGCAGGTGAAGAGGTGGGGTCAGCTTAAAGTGTTTATGCAAATGGAGTGTAAATGAAGACTTAAGAACCTTACAAAAAGTTAATTATTTCTGTTAATGACTGAGGACAGAATAACAAAACCAAAAAGCAGAGATAACCAGTAAGCATACATGTTGAAGAAAATGTAATAAGTTATTGTAAAAGAAAATGAGACAGGCAGAGAAAATCAATTATATTTTATAAAGCAGCTCATAGTAGAGCAGCATTTGTGGGAATTTGAATGCTAGCAGGAAACACAAATCACACTTAACTACATACTACAGCATCCAAGTGAAAACCATGATACCTTATCTTTCAGCAACTGACCGAATCCAATTAAAATGAAACCCATACAGTTGATTTTGATTAAAATCAACTATCAAAAACACATATGAAGAGGTTTTCTTCAGAATTTCCTTTAAATACATAAACAGAAATTTTGTAGTTTTCCCAAGTACAATGCTCCTAGAATTTTCCTCACTTTCCATTATACTCTTGTATCTCCAGACAACTATAAAAGCTGAAGTAACTTTAATCCTAATTCTGCTGGAAACTGCTTTTTGGATGTCAGCTTACCTTGAACAATGATATCATCATCCAAATATATGACTTTCTCATGTTTCTGGATAAGCAAAGGAAGATAAAATCGAACGAAGTTCAGCTGTTAAACAGGGGGAAGAAAAAAGGAAATACTAAGTGTTAAAGCAGTTTAATGCATTAGTCTCTCTTTACTGACTAATAAACTATTAGTTCTTTTACTGACACGCTCAGAACTGGACACAGTATTCCAGTGCTGATGGTACAACAAAACACCAGCAAATCAGCTTCTTCTGACAGCTGGTAACATTTAGGTTAGTCTTTAGTCTCTGACTTAACCTTAGACATAGCAGAATGCAGCCAACTCAGCATCATGGAGACACAAGAAGCACTAGTGTATCTTTCCTCTGATAAATTGTAAATATATTCTTAAATATATAACACATTCAAAACACCAAGTTTATACCACCAAATAGGTGAGGTGCCAGCAAGACAGAAAACTTGCAAGGAGCTTGTTACAATGCACTTTTCCTTCTTGAGTGACAGCTTAGCATTTGGACCTGAAGTGTTTTTTGCAGGGTTGCACCCCTCCTCTGTAGTGGAACAGAGACTAGGACATTTAAAAACCTGTAATGTGCATTAAATTCTTGAAAATGTGTTGTGTGGTGTTTGTTTACTCACAGGCTGCAGTAGTTCAGGACGTGCTGCATCTTGCCTGATTTTTCCCTTTAGTACCATGGGATTGAATTCCACAACTTTAAATTTTATTTCTTTCAGTTTAGAATTTTCAATCCATTTTCTGTGATTAAAAGAAGTAATAAAAGAAATATTTAGCAGGTGGAGAGTACTTCCAGCGTTAACTCAGACTCACAGGAAAATAAGAGGCTTTGGAAACTCACTTCATCTATCCTACCCCAAGACAAAATCACTTATGTCTACACCTATTGCACACAGACATTTGTTTAACCTGAAATAAAAAAAAAAAAAAAAAGTGCCAAAACCAGAGACTCCACACATTGTACAAGCAACCCATTTTACACCTTTGTGATCACTAAATATTATTTCCTGGACTTTCATGCTATGGTTAAAGACCATTTTTTTCTTATCCTATCTGCTATGCTTTTAAAAAATAGGTCAGTCTTCTCGTTTTTACAGTTTTATGTCCTTCAAGATGACTGTCACATATTCACAGTTTAGTGGAGGAATTTTTTTTTTTTTCAGACTAATTTTTTTCAATATTTTGTCAGATTTCCTGTCATTGTTGCTTGATGTTCGACTGACCTCTCTTCTAAATCTTTCCTGAAGTAAGGCACATTAAACTAAATGTCATACTTTTTCTGATGTGGTAGAAATGCCTAGGAGCTCAGAAACTGTTTTCTCACATCTCCAGAGGTCATATATATCCCCAACTATATTTCACTATGAAGCATGCCTTCCGCTTCCTTTTTTTTTTTTTTGCACAACAGTGTCATCAGTTATAGTAGTGTAGGTTTCAAAACGAGTGTGTCAAAGAATATGGGGTCTCCAAATTCATACTAAGTGAGCATACAGACAGCATCTATCCCTCCACTCCCGTTCTCTCACTATAATCACAGTTAATAAAGCTTCTGTGTGGCCTACCATAAATTGTACTTGTTATTATGCACTTGGAGTCCCCATATTATCTAGCAAGTGCTAACAAACTCTTGCTTCACCTTGAGTCAACAAAATTAGCAATTTCCACCTCTACTGAATTTCATCATGCTTTACAGCTCATTTTTTCAACTCATTTGGAGTTTGTTTTCAGCTCATCATTGTTACTCAATATATCTTCCCTCTCTTCCAACTCTGCGACAACTGTAGAGTCATAGAGAACATTCTCCATTCTATTCTCTAGGTTACTGATGGACTGGATTGGAAAAACTCTCTCTGGAACCCCACTTATCACATCTTTTCACTTTGACATAAATTGTAAGTACACAAGCTACAGAAGCAGAGGCAAGAACTGCTTAAAAAAATCTTTGAATCTTTGGTTCACACCTTCCCTCTCTCATTTCCCCCTGTTTTAGAGAATGTCTGCAAAAAAACACCCAAACATGCTTTCATTACTAGCTTCTTTGGGCCTCTATTTATAACATTTACCCATCTCCTTTACCTGAAATTAGCTTTAGACAGCAGGCTTTTCTGCTCTGAAACTAAAGACACAGCTTCATATGAGCTGCATGCAGTGCCACAAAATGGGCTTGTGACAAGTAAGCATGTACATGTATGCACTTACTTACCTTACTACACACTCTCTTCTGCAGCTGATCAACAAAAGGCAAAAAGGCAGAGATACAGGCATGTTATGGTTATTTCATACCCCTTTACGACAGCAAGTGCCTTAAGGAGGGTACAATGATCCTTTTTCCTGTGTGTAGGGAATCCTGGGGACAGCTACCAAGACACTACTTAAAAGGAAGTACTTTCTTCCTACAAAAGGAAGAAACATTTCCTGGAAAGTCCTCCAAAGCTTATGCTCATGCTAAGGAGAACCACAACCTGGTCCTAATTACAGCCTGAAATAAAATAAAGCACTCATATACCGAATATGAGGGATGGTGTTCTTCAGCCCAACTATGTAGAACAAAACATTAGCCTCTGTGTTGCTGTAGATGCTACTGATTGCTGCTATAGCTGCACCCATTCTGCCTGCAGCAGCACAGATTACGACTGGGATTTCTTCTTCCATTTCCTCAGGACTCTCCAAGTCAACTGCAAGAAACAAAATTATGCATTATAGTAGAAAATTGAGAATCTTTTTGTATCACTTCTGGGTCATAAGAGTGAGCTCATAGTTCTATAAACAGTGGAATCATATCACATTCACTTCACTTCCTTCCCACATCCTTTACACATCCACATCTGCCAAGGCACACAGCGCGAGCTGTCACTAATCCAGAACTACATGCAGGCTGACTTAGATGCTTCCAAACAGAACACAGAAAAGTGTTATCTGTATCTTCTGCTCCACAGGAGAACAAATCACCCTGTTCTCCATGTTGCTGCTTACTCCCACGAAGCCTAAAGAAGTTTGAATACCTTTGAGACTTCTACTTCTCAGTTATATTTAGTACAAATTGAACAATTGGCTCCAAAATTATCAAAGAAAGGAGGTAAAACGAAGGAGCTAGTATAATGGAAGAACATGTATACCACATGGTGTAGTGGAAGAGCATGAGCTTCACTTCCTTGGGAAGCAGGCTAGAAAGGAATAGTGCAAAATTTTGTACCACCAGGAAGTTGCTAATGATAAAAGAGAAAAAAATCTGAACAGTACTGAAACAGCTCACATCACTGATAAGGAAAATTTGTACCCCTAGCACTGACTAACTTACAGAACTTGTATGAATACATTTATAATGGTTAAAACATATCCATTAAACTCATAACAGCCCAACAAAACCATACTGAATAGAAATGGTTTATACTAAGACAAAATTTGTTTATCTTAGGAACAGTGAATAAGCTATTAGTATAAACACTACATACTAGTCCAACCATACCAACCCAAGCGGGTTTTTGTTACCACAAATATTCCAGCAAGAACTTCTGCTGAAAATTATATAATTGATAATACTTTGATGATCCATCTGACATCAACAAGTAGGCCAAGCATATTCCCAAGGGACAAGTTCTGACTGAAGTTTGTTATCACTTGGCAACTCCAATAGTATTCTTAAATAAGAATATCCACCAGCATCTGCATCAGTGACATCTGGATAAAACTGTGAATCGGGATGACAATTCTTAATTGTACTATCAGTCTCCTACTATTTTATTTGAAGTGGCTCATCTGCTGCAGGGCAAACAGGCTTAATAATAACAAGAAAAATATATGTTAAATGAAGAGGTGAGAAACATCAAACAGGAACATAAATGAAATGGAAGTCATTTACCTGCTTCATTCTTTAATGCAGATGGCACTTTGTGAACTTTGTTGTACAGAATTGCACATACAGTTAAGACAAGAAGCAACAGTAAGATCTGGTTAACTGAAAAAAAGGAAGAATGTGTTAACAATCACTCTAAAAACTAGAATACTCATTGTACCTTTTTAAAATCAAATTTGCAATTAGTACATATCAAAACCTGTATTTGCTGTCTTTTTTTTCTCTTTTCTCTCACTATTTGATCAAATTAAAAACATTATGCTAAAAATGTAATGATATCTCTGTCCTTTTACAATTATTTCCAACTATCTGATTTTCGTGGATTGTTTGCTCACTCATTAAGTACACACGGGTTATCCATAATATCAAAGTAATGTTTCTAAGTATTACTAGAATCCTGGAACTTTCTTTCATTGGCTACATCATGGGACTTCAAGAACTAATTATTTTACCTAGCTTTTTCCTTCTCTCATACTTCCTTCAGACCCAAATAAAATTTTATTTGATTTCAACATGCAGATCTTCAAGGTATATTTGAGCAAAACTCTAACAGTACTAGAAAAATGAACCCAGCATGCCACTGAAACCAGGTATGTTCCAAAAATATTTGAGAATACATAAACATTTTGATACTGTAATTAGTAAAGTCAAAACAAAACATGCAAAAGCAAAGACCTTACTGTATATTGTGATTTTCTAGTTCCTACCAGATTATCTTGGACAAGCCTAAGCCATCCAACATTAACCAACCATGAGCTGTTAACCAAGACAGCTCAATGATAGGACAGGGAAGGAATATGCTACCATCACCGACAGTTACCTTGATGATGGAGTTCTTTGGGTTGACTTCATTACTTTGTACCATCGTAAAGGTGATGGTAGATATTCAAGGCACGCAAAAGAGCAAAGGGAACAAAGTTTTGAACTGTTTGAGTCAAAAGGGCCAATTAACCAGAACTGGGCATGAGAATAAGTTGAAATTGGTATGCATGCATCACCAAACCTGCACTTGTTTAAATCAGCTGAGGAAAGTGCCCATTCACTTCAGTGATATTTTGGTTGTATAACTGAAGACTCACAGCCGTCCATTTTCAGTCATTGATCACAACAGGTGATGAGAATCCCAAATTTCTCAAGGCCACATTTCAATATCGAGTATGAACAGCATTAACGTGCAGAGTTCTGTTTAAAAAGTCCGGTTGGGTGCTCCTGGCACAGCCCACATGAAACTGGCAGCTACCTGCACTCAGTCTCATGCAGCAAGTAGTGAGTAATATTAAATTAATAGGATTTATTGCTGTACTTATTGCTGATTTAGTTTACAGGAAAATATTTATTTTGATAATAAAAGTTAAGTATAATTTAGCAAAACTAGTTATAAATTTGCATGCAACTGTTACAACAGTTTTATGATAAATTGCATTTGACATCTCTGCCCTCTTTTAAAAATACATATTTTAAATGTTTTTAATCTTTCTTACTTTTCTTTAAAAGAGCCATATGTTCTGTTGGATATGAACTGTGGTCTGTAGTAAAATTTAAAAATAAAAAAGAGAGAGAGAGGGAAAAATCATGAATACAAGCAGTGAACACTAGTTAAATATTTCAGGGATAAGGTTTAGCATTATCAACCAGTAAAAGCATTCTATCTTTGTAAATAACTTTCTTGCAACAAATAACTAATATTTTGAGCCAGAGCTATTAGATATTTTAATATTCAGCCTATTAATAGACTGAAATTAATTGTTTTAATACATTCAGTCCAATCAGCTACACCAGTAATAACTATGATTTTTAACACATTTTAAAATAATGTACAAAAATTATAAAAACACCAACTGGTTCAATTTGTAAATACATCTGCCTTTATATCTGATCTCACCTAAAACATAAGAACAATCATGAATACTAAGCTTTTGCTAGCATACAGTTCCCAAACACATAGGTATCATACATTGGAGCAGTGACTCTCAGACCATGAGAAAATTTTAGAGTAATTGTGAAAAGATTTTCTAAGAGAAGTGTCCTTCCCGCAACAGTAAAAGGGGAGCTTGTGCAAAATGGCTTGTATTTAAGCACATCTGTGATGCTTAAGATAAAGAAGTAGCCTTCCCTAAAACTGTACTTCTAAGCAAGGCGTGAGAATGGCCATGACTTTGTACCATAGAGGAAAGAACACAATCCCTAAAATTGTGGAAAAAGGACAACATTCACGTAAGTTCTGGCAGCAGTAGTATTATTTATGAAAAAAAAAAAACAACAATAAAAACCACCATCAGAGGTTGGGGCAGGAGTGAAGGATCACACTGAACTGTGTGATCTAACTCTTATACTATTGTAGCTATCTTCAAGATCAAAACCCATTTTTCCTGTTTACATACATACAGATATGCTACAGTATAGACAAGGAAACACTGCAGTTTCTATCCACGTATTAAAATGAAGTTCATTCTCATTCCTTGAGAAGGAACACGAAACAGCAGAAATTCTTGAAACCTGAGTCACAAAAATGAGCACCCCTCATTGGTTAATGCTGCTGGTGAGGGAGCATCCTGAATTAGCCTCTACTTTGACTAACAAGTAAAATGGAAATAAAAACATAAATAAAGCTAAGATGTGGCTTTGTTTACAAACCACTTACATTTGCATATATTTAGATCCCAACAGATGACTAAATCGTAGAGAGAGGAATATTTCTGCGATTCCTTTCACATCTGCAGTACTTGTCTGCATTCCAGCAGCTCTCTTCATGTGGCATTAATTTACATAGATATGAAAACAACCTTATCAGTTGAAATAAAAAAATATATGCTGCTTAGAAATCCCTTCTCTTGCACATTACACAAGTATTGTAGTCTTAGCCATTTAAAAGCTTATTCATTTAGATAAGGAGAGAGACAACAGAAAACCCTACACTTGTGGAATAACTTTTTAGCCTCACTTAAGCCAGTAGCAATTTTCACTGACTTCAATAGAGCTGACTACAGCCTTTTAACTAAATTTGTAACAATAGTCACAAATAACACTGATGATCACGGCAAAATGAAAGTTGGATAGTCACAGCCTCATGATCTCTTCAGAGATGATTAAATCAACATATATTGAACCATGTTTTAAATTTTAAAATCTAAACACAGAAAGTTTCATATAAGAAAAGTTTGAATTCCAAAACCACAAAGTTCCTAAGTCTCAGCAACTCAGATTAACTAGTCATTGCTTTTTAAAGAAAGGAATATTTATTCTCCTATAAATATTTACTCATTTTTTTTCCTGAATTTAGACATTAGTTCCTAGAACCTGGCAGTCCCTAAGTCAGTTGCTAAATCCTGTCATAAAACAAGGGGCTGCAGAAGGGAAAGCTCAGAAACATGACATTACTGCTCAGATATTTCCTGCTTAATTAGTCTTTTTACCTCTTCAAAGCAGCACAGTATTCGGGACTTCTTTCTCCTGAAGAGCTTTTTACTTGGATCCTAGATAGCCCACAGATGTAAGCACTCTTGCCAAAGCTTCCTTGCCCATCGTCCTCCTTTAAAGTCCCCTGTACAAGGGCCTTACAGGGCACAGAAACAGTTTTAAGATTCGATTCCTTTTTCAAACTCTTCAAAGTTTACTTTGGAGTTGTGCTGGTTTTCTTTTCTCTCTGCTGCTGAGGAATAGCAGAGAGTCCAGACGCGGCACTGAAGGAATGAGAGCCCATAAACCACTTCCAGATGTGCTGAACGATGATGCAGCCCTAGATCTGGCAAACTTGCCTTAGAGCTTCATCTAGCAGATTGCGAACAAATCCCACAAGACAAAAAGTCTTAAGGGGGTGGAGGAAAGAGAAGGAAGCAAACCGTTCCAGAAGTTACTTCAACAGTCTAGTTGCAGGTTAGGTTTCTAGTCATTATTTGTGGTAAATGTGAATAAATAACTAGTGTGCAAGAGCCAAACAACAACATGCCAAAGTCAAAATGAAAGCCAAGTTTTTTTTAGTGTCTGTTTGCACAGTTGTTGCAAATATGAAATGGAGCAAAACTTGCAAAATTCAACTGAGCATGCACTCTGACTTGAGTTGTATCATCCCCAAATCTCTGAGAAATTAATCTGAACACATGGGTTTGGTTTGGATTCAGATGGACGATAGATTAAGGTATCATGTAGATGTTAATATTCTGTTTGTTGATACTCTGTCTCCCAAATGCCCCTGGAATGCTTCTGCACTTTTATTTCTATCTCACTTCTTTTATTCCAATTCTCTGCCTCCTTTCTAGGAGCCTTCCCCTTACACGCTAAAGCAGTTTTATCACAAGACTTTCATCACTGGTGAAAGGAGGAAGAATACACCTTAAATTCTGTTTCACATTTCTGGCATGAGACAGCACACAACTTATGAAGAGTAAGTTAAAATGCAGGGTTTATTTTTAGAATTTTGACTAAGATTTTTGTTCCACTCCCAGGATCTGAAAACGTGGGCTTTTAACCATATGTCTCAAATATGCTTCAAGGGTATTATCTGTGTCTGATTTACTACAGAAACCGATCCTTTTGCAGAGCTGCTTGTTGGAAAAATACATGAAGAGCAGTACAAGGAGTTGCATGCTTCGTGCAGATGGTCGCAGCCATCACTTTTTCTGTTGCGTGGTACTTTTTATACAGGATTATGTTCGTGTTCATCGAAATCCACCTGTTTTATTAGTGTCCCTTGCACTGTGCGTGCACACTGCTGAGCTCTGAGGTGCGTGTGGCAGCAGCGTGGGGACCACCAGCTCTCCCCACACTGCCAGCAGCGCCTTCTCCAGGTTTCCCTTGAACCCAGGCATTTACAGCCTCACTGAACGCCCTGATCACAGAGGGAACAGCCCTGCTCCCACCCCACTGACCGAGATCTCCAGCTCGACACAACCCAAACCTCGACTTCTTATCTTAACACCTCACTCCCCTCACAGGGCGATACCCAGGGCGCTCAGTTAAGCCTGAGGGGCCGCTCCTGAGGATGGCACCACCACAAACAGCACCCGAGGAGCCGCGGCCACCCCGCGCCCCTTCACCTCCCCCCTTGTCCCCCCCACCCCGGCCCCGCCGCCATCACCCCCTCCCCTGCGGCCCGGCCCGCCGGCGCGGGGCATTGTGGGAGCGGCGGGAAGATGGCGGCGGCCGCCGCTGGGCTGAGCTGGAGGCGGGTGTCTTCCTTCACGGGGCCGGTGCCGCGCTCCCGCCACGGGCACCGCGCCGTCGCCATCCGCGAGCTGGTCATCATCTTCGGCGGCGGCAACGAGGGCATCGCCGACGAGCTGCACGTCTACAACACGGGTGCGGGGCGCGGGGCGGGGCGGCAGGGGAGCGGGGGGCGGCGGTGGGGAGAGGGCGGTGGCGCTGCCGCCATGTCCCTGGGGGCCTCCTCCTTCCTCCTCCTCCTCCTCCTCCTCCTCCTCCTCCTCCTCCTCCTCCTCCTCCTCCTCCTCCTCCTCGTCGCCCCCCGGGCTCGCCCCGAGCTCTCCTCGTCCCCTCCCCGTTTGGGGTTTCCCCCGCTGGGCGATGCCCGCGCCGTGCCCAGGTCCCCCTCTGGCGGCCGCCCCCCGCAGCCCGTGGGGGCGGGAAGCCGCCAACGGCCGCTGCCCTCGCTGAGGGCTGAGGGGCCCCGGCTGGGCGCGATGGAGGGCTGGGAGGCTGCCGACAGCAGGAAACTGCCTCAGCTTTCGGCCTGAGGTGAAATGCACCCCAGGCGTGAAAGTTCAGAGCATGTCAGCCGTCCTTACAGCTCACCGACCGCTAAAAATCGTTCAAAAGTAGCCCCCCACACTCCAAAAAGGTTATAGGATTTTGGCTGAATGGCTTTCTATTTATTTTTTTTGTTTGGAGGTAGGATCCGTGAGGGTGGAAATGTTCTGGATATAGTTCATTACGAGGAAAATGCATAGTGTTAAGAGTTCTTCCAAGCGGATTATTCTGTGAGAGCTTAAAGATGACACATTTCAGAAAGCTGCAATCTCTTAACCTCGCCATTACGACAAGTAACCTGAATAAAGCTTTCAGATAAAGCGGTTACACTGTCTTCTAGAACAACAATTGTGGCAGATGTCTTCTAAGCGAGTCTTAATGCCACTTCATTTATTTTCCTGCCCAGATTCCAAAGGTGTTTGCCCCTTTGCAGCAGTGACAGAAAGGACTGCTCGTGACTCAGCCATTCCGGCCCCCAGACACGGGTTTGGCTCAATCTGACCTCTCTCCTCAGGGCTCAGGTGTAGGGCTGTCACCTGGGGTGGCCGAGTGTGGGATGGCACCCATTATTCCTGCTCTGAGCGTGATGACACACTGAGGACCTCTTAATCCCCTACAGCAGTGTTCTCTGGAAGCTTTTAATTTCACGCGTTTCCTCTTCTTATTCATGAAAAAAGCTTAGAAAAAGGAGACAGCTATCTCTTGGAGTTCCAAAACACTTTGAACAACAATATGCTATGGTACCAGACAGTCTCAGTTGCTATTCTTGTCTCTCCTTTCCCATGTATCAGTGCAGTACTCTGTAGATATTAACATCCCAAAATAGTGTAATTAGTTTTTCAATAGGGCTATTAAGTCCAGGCGCACTGCCATGCTGCTGCTGCAGCTATAGTAATTCTGTTTCTAGGACTAACACTCTCCGAGTGCCACTTTTTTTTTCGTGAAGTCTATTAAATTGCTGAACAGCTTTTGGTAACTGACTTACTGTGACCTCGTGCTCATTTATATATTGAATAACATCGGTTTGGTAGAGGTGTGTGTATTTGTTCTAATGTCTTAAATTGGATTAAACTGATTTTTTATTTTAAAAACGTAGTATTAAGCAGCCCATTCATGGTCATCGACAGTTAAAAGGTAGTTCTTTAGAAAGTAGAGGTGTTTAAAAATATACTTCCCTTCTCAGTGTTTTTTTATTTCTTTTTTCTTTTTTTTACTTGTAGCTACAAATCAATGGTTCCTTCCTGCTGTAAGGGGAGATATTCCTCCGGGCTGTGCAGCGCACGGATTTGTTTGTGATGGTACCAGAATATTAGTTTTTGGAGGAATGGTTGAATATGGAAGATACAGTAATGATTTATATGAATTACAGGTAGGAAACGTATGAAAATGTTCCAGTTCTGAGGACTAGTTTGTTTATTTATTTAGGAAAAAAACATTTTATATTACCAACTGCAGAGTGCAGTTAGATGCTTTGCTCAAAGAAAAATAAACTCTTTAAATAGACTCTGAAGATGGAGGAAATATAAATAACTTTGAAAAAAAGACTTCCATCTAATCAAAGTATAAAATATTTAATGTTTTATGAAGGTTAGCTTTTATGTATCCCTGTTAATGTATGCCCTAAGAAAAGCCAAGTGCTCTTTAAAAATCATTCATAGAATATACCAGGAGTGTTCCTATTATTTGAATTCATTGACTATGAACAAATATAAATGAAGATATTTCTCAGGATGTATTTCTTGTCTTTAAGGCAAGTCGATGGCTCTGGAAAAAAGTAAAACCTCAAGCTCCTTCCACTGGATCACCACCTTGTCCTCGGCTTGGCCACAGCTTTTCTTTATATGGTAACAAGTGCTATTTATTTGGTGGCCTGGCAAATGAGAGTGAGGATTCAAATAATAATGTTCCCAGGTATGCTATTTTGGTTTGAATTCAATGTCTTTTTAAAAATAAATGATTAGATGCAGCAGTTTAGAAGGTGAACATTCTAGGGAGGCTGTCATGCTTGCTGACTACCCGCATTTGGGTTGGTTGTGAGATGGATGGTGTTGCATGCAAAGAAACTTAAATATTTTTTCCGCTAATCCCATTTTATGGAACACAGACTGAAAGCTCTGACACCTTTGGAGGGAAAACTGAATAGGGTTTGGTTTTCTTCCTTAATACTTTGGGGGATGTTTTTAAGAATGTGAGCTTGTGAGGTTTACTTAAAGAAGCACAGTCTCATGAGTCATCAGGGAATTCACAATGGAAGTTCCTTCTACAATGCTCTGGAAAACAATCTGGAAATTTTTTAAAGTAACAGTTGCAGTTGCCTTTAATATAAGCAAACAGAACTATAACGGTGAAATTTTATACCATGCTCACCTGCAGTTGAGTGCTTATATCCCCTGAGCTACAAACTGGCAATCTGAAGCTCATTAAATGAGGTATTCAGCATGAATGCCAAGATTCAAGTCATCTAAAATTAACATGCCAATAGATTAATCAACACATGGCTAATCGTCTCTTGGCCAGCCTAAAGAACCAGCTCCTTTTCACCTTTGTTACCTTAGAGTTGCAGAAATTCTTTAAGGTCCTATGTCATAGTGCATTTCCTACAGCTTTACAGTCTACTCCAGCTTTATCCATATGTGGTAATTTCTGCTAAGAACGTTGTTTACCAGTTTTGAATGTTTCTTTCATGAACTATAGTGTATGAAGTATGATGTAATTATGGTGTGCCTTCCTTAGAGGCAACAAGTTATAATAGTTAGTTACTGTTTTAAATCCATTGAGTTTTGATACTGTCCATAATGCCACCAAATGTTTTGGGATTTTAAAGTTCTCTGCTCTTCCAAGGCAGAAGTTGTAATGCTTGTAAGCAGTCAGGATTTAAAACTCACTTAAATCATGTTTTTAAACACATTTTTCATACTGTGTCAATAATACCCTAGATATTTAAATGATTTCTATGAACTGGAGCTGCAGCATGGTTCTGGAGTTGTTGGCTGGAGTATTCCTGTGACAAAAGGTATCTTGCCATCTCCCCGAGAATCTCACACCGCCATTGTATACTGCAGAAAAGATTTGGGAAGTCCAAAGATGTATATTTTCGGAGGGATGTGTGGCTGTCGGCTTAACGATCTCTGGGAACTTGACATAGGTGAGTTCATCTGCCAGTAGAAGTCAGTTCAGGGGCTTCAGTGGCAATGAGGAAAATTTAAAGTATGTGAGGATTAAGAGCATGCTGTAGTGCAGATGTTATTGGGACTTAAACCATGGCATTAATCTTCTGTAATTTTTGGAATGAGATGCATACAGCATCTATTTTTGCATTTATTATCCTCATCCTTAAGG